TCGATAGCCGCCCCAAGACAAACAGAGTTAGGGACAACTATGAGCGAGCCCGTACATGGCCAAGGCCCGAGCAAGCGATCGCTCGGGATGCCCTAAGTCGTGTCCGAGACCGGCAGGGAAGTCTCCGAATGGGATCCCACCGTAGGGAGGCGCCGAGCCCCTAGGGCCAATCGAACGGCCCTGGGACCCACTAGAGAATCCCTTTGGTACTTTTGGAGTGTGTCTCTGGACCGCTAGCCGACCCCTATCGAATGGGGCACGGGCCTCCACTCGGACTTACCCGATAATAGCTCACCGGAAGTGTCACCGCTCGGGCCCACCGAGGGTAGCCTGACATATTCCACCCCTCCTTCTGAACAAAAAGGATGCGCGAGGGTCGCACAAAAAGCTAGGGGAACTCCTGATCGCCCTCTCGCTCTGTACAGAGGCTCGGGGGCTCTTCCTGCAACCTTGCCGAGACCCAGCGACCCAGGCTTGTACTCGAGGGCTCGGCAAACAACCCCTCAATCTAAACGAAAAGGATGCGCGAGGGTCACATAAAAAGCCAGGGGAACTCCTGATCGCCCTCTCGCTCCGTGCAGAGGCTCGGCGGCTCTTCCTGCAACCTTGCCGAGACCCAGCGACCCAGGCTCACACTCGAGGGCTCAGCAAACAACCCCTCCTTCCGAATGAAAAGGATGCGCGAGGGTCGCACAAAAAGCCAGGGGAACTCCTGACCGCCCTCCCGCTCCGTGCGGAGGCTCGGGGGCTCTTCCTGCACCTAGGATGAAAACAAGCAACCCAAGCTCGCACTCGGGGGCTCGGAAAAATGCGATAAAGGGCACCGAGCCCGTTACGGTCCAGGGGTTCAAAGGCTGGCCCCCAAAGGTTTCGACAGCCGCCCCAGGACAAACAGAGTTAGGGATGACTGTGGGCGAGCCCGTACATGGCCAAGGCCCAAGCAAGCAAATGCTTGGGATGCCCTAGGTCATGTCCGAGACCGGCAGGGAGGTCTCCGAATGGGATCCCACCGTAGGGAGGCATCGAGCCCCTGGGGCCCATCGAACGGCCCTGGGACCCACTAGAGAAGCCATCTAGTACTTTTGGAGTGCGTCTCTAGACCGCTAGCCGACCCCTATCGAATGGGGCACGGGCCTCCACTCGGACTTACCTGATAGCAGCTCACCGGAGATGTCACTGCTCGCGCTCACCGAGGGTAGCTTTGCATGCTCCACCCCTCCCTCCGAGCAAAAAGGATGCGCGAGGGCCACCAAAAAAGACAGGGAAACCACTAATCGCCCTCTCGCTCCGTGCAGAGGCTCGGGGGCTCTTCCTGTAACTAAACTGAGGCCCAGCGACCCGAACTCAAACTCATGGGCCCGGCAAACGCGATAAAACTCCTTACTCGACAGAGAAAAAGCCCCTGGAGGAGTAAATCCACTCCTCTAGGGCCTCGGGGGCTACACCCGGCGGGTGCGCGCGCACCCACCGGAACCACGAGTACAAAACACAATCCCGACGGGAGCTGCTGCAAGCCAAGTCTCGACAAAGCCTTAGGGAGAGTGCTCGCACTCTCCCTGAGGCTCGGGGGCTACTGTCGGATACCATAAAAAGGGGTACCCTAAGCCAGAACTGAAAAGATTGCTTAGACCTTGCAAATATCAAAGCCGAAGGACAACCACGAGGCCTCGGCCGATCCTCCGATTCGCCCGAGGCCCGCGCCGCAAAGGCCTCGAATGAAAAGCCAACTCTCCGCCTCGTCGAGGCCCTCTCGCCTGAGGCCCTGCCCCACAAGGCCTCGGACAGGTTACCGATTCTCCGATTCGCCCGAGGCCCCGCGCATAAAGCCTCAGACGAAGTACCGATTCTCTGACTCGCTCGAGGCCGGCTCGGCAACAATCTCGTCACCTCCGTCTCGACCGACTTCTCTGACAAAACGTCACGTCCAATTAACGAGTCCAACCACTCCCATAACGTCACCAGACGCGGCCGCGAAGAAGATGCCGGAGTGGGCTAACGGACGGGAGATGCAGGAGACAGGCAGGGGTTACCAGCCACTATGCTCTCAGACATCGTGCCCATAATCGATGCCCGATCGCACTGTGCTACCTAACTCCTGCTACAGGAACAACGCGGCGTGGGGAGTCAAATCTGGGTCACTATAGCCTCGGAATCAGTGTATAGGACCAACTGCTCCCTCCAAGCCTCGGCAATCCACTTCAGAGTCTCGGCAGCCTCGGGATTCATGCCCGTCGAGCCCGCCACAATGGCTCGGCCTTGGCACCAACTGAGCCTCGGCTTTTTACACTGTCAACGCACAGGGATCGGCACGTCGTCAGCCATGCCCTGCGCCAAGCTATCACTGGAGCGCCCACATCGCACAAGATCGAGTGTGACCGGCGCGCTGCTCCAGTGCATCAAGGACAAGACCGCTCCGTTGACCATGCCGCCACCGTAGTAAGCCACAGGGCTCAGACACGCCACCTCCGCTCACAAGACGCCGCATAGCAAACACATGTATCACCCCTGTCCACCCTTCAACTATAAAAGGAGAGACCGGGGCCATTTCTAGACACAGGAAGACAGACGAACTCACGCATAGGCTCACGTAGATTCAGACACACGCTCCCCCGCTGCCTGAGAGCAACGTCTCAGGCAGCCCACACCGCTCCACGCAGAGACCTGGGACTAGCTCCCTCTCTCGCCCAGCTTGTAACCCCCTACTACAAGCACTTCGGTGTAAGGAATACAAGATCGATCTCTCAGACTGGACGTAGGGCACCAATTGCCTGAACCAGTATAAACCTTGTGTCTCTTTGCATCACCATCCGGGATTAGGGACACGCAGTTCAAATTCACTAGTTGGTTGAGGACCCCCCAGTCCAAAACACCGACAAATAAGTTAGCACTTAGGGTTTTATTAATTCACCAAAACCAAACTAGAGCTTTCACACGCCTTCATAGCTGTTGCTGGCCCTTCTCCACCCTGTGAGATGCCCCCCTCGCTGTGACACCACCCACTACCGTCAGCCGCTTCTCTAGGTCCGTTGAGGCCGGATTCAACTGTCCCAAGGCAGCCAATGCCTTCACGCCCGCTAAGCCGCGCGTGGGGCCTCCCCCGCCGCTACCTCGAGCTGGCCATACCTTCTCGTCCTCCAGGGTGCTGCCACCGTGCCAACCCTCGTCCTTCCTAGACATTGCCTCTCCATCGACCCTTGTCCTTGTGGTGGATTATGGTGCACGATCTCCCATGAAGCGTGGCAGGCAAAGCTCAGTTGATAGAGCCAAAAAAAGGAAGAATGGAGAATGACAAGTGGGTCACATATGGCAGTGTCTATTAGGATGAATTTGGGACCCCTAATTTGAGGGTTGTCAGCTGAAAATAGCCCCCGTGGAAGTAGGAGATCTATTTTGAGTAGTATTGTTGAAGATTCTCCAAATATTTGCCCAATCACAAATTTAAAATGAAACAAGTAAAGCGTACAAATCTAGCAATGGTGGTACAGCAGGTGCCGGCTTAGGCCTCAGCGTAGAAGATGGCGCACTAAGCAAGTAAGCATCAATATCTAGTCATAATCCATCTGCATCATGTTCCTCTAACGAAGCTGGTCTTAAGGACCCGTTTGGTTAGACTCAGCTCTCACTTCAGCTCCAGCTCCTGCGGAGGAGCCCTACCAAACGGTTTAGTAGGAGGACCCATTTGAAGCTATTTTTCAGTGAAAAATAGAAGCCGGAGCCGTTTTGGAGGAGCCATAAATGGCTTTGGCTCATCCAGAGAAGCCCTGGAAAAGAGCCATACCAAACAAGGCTTAACTCTTACAATTGCTTCTTCCACACTTTTAGCTACAACGCCGCAAAGGGAATCTCTCATCTTTGTGATGATGTAGATTGCTCCCTCTGTCCTTGAATAAACAGATTTTTATAGTTGTCTTAACTCAAATTTGTTAAACTTTGATCAGATTTCTGGGAAAAAAAAACATCAAGGTTTATGGTATCAAATTAGTATCATTAGATATTGCAATTGCATCGCATGGATGAGATACTGTACACTATACATGAAGGAAACAACCTATGTTATTTGTGTTGATTCGCGTGGTATCACCTGCTGGAAAGAAACAACCCATCATCACAATTTAAAACAACGAATGCGACCGTGCCCTGCTCCTGCTGTAGGGGTCCCCCATGGACGGGTAGACTATGCACTCAGCCCACAAACGGCCCAGTAGAAAAAAAACCACACTAGCCATTATTAATTTTTTATTGCCTATGAATATTCCCATGTAATAACTAAAAATGTTTTGTTCAATGAAAAATGTTTTACTTCATGAGGAAAATGTGGCTTACACTACATAAGAAAATATTATCTTCAACTTACGGAGCAATAAAATATAATTCACATTAAAGAAAAAGTCCTCTTAGTAAGAACAAAGCCCAAGCTGTACAATGAAAAGGTTCATCACAATAAAAAATGTTTGAGAAAGATATTCCCACTTAAAAAAAGTTTGAGAAATATATTTGATTTGTTCCATATAGAAGCACACAAAATCTAAAGTCACCTTATAAAAATACATGTCCTGTGTGTATAGATATGTATAGATGCAGATTACTCTTGTTCCACAAGTCTGAAGTGTTGCTGAAAACAGAATTCAGATGTGGAGGCTGCTTGTTTATGTTATGGTGTTTGATTTTTCGCGGGGTCTCCAAGTTATAAATCCAGAGGTCAGAAGTTGATGTAATCTGAATGATTTGAATAGGTTGTTGTGAAGTTTGCTTGAATCTTCAGAAACAGATGCAGATTACTGTCTTACTGATGTTACAGTGTTGCTGAAAACAGAGTTCAGATGTTGCAGGTTGCTTGTTTATGTTGTGGTGATTGATTTTACACGGTGTCCAAGCTAAGCGACGATCCACAAGACCACAAATCCATTATGAGAAGTTTAAACAGTGCCAAGTTGCAAACAGAGCTATAAACCGCTGGCTTCAATCACGTAACGTAAATGGCAGCGGAACACCATGACTTGCTAATTTACCGGTGAGTGGGGAAGCACCGGCGTAAGCAACGGCTGACCGGAGAAGAAGGCTTCAAGGTTAGCAACGACGTGGTCGCGCAGGTCGGACATGGACTCCGCCGTGAAAACCGCCACATGAGGCGTCATCACGACATTGTCCATGCAGAAGAGCTCGCCCGGCGCTCCGGGCTCGTTCTCGAACACATCGAGACCGGCACCTGCGATCCTGCCCTCCTTCAGCGCCCTGACCAGCTCCGCCTGGTCGACGTTCGCGCCGCGGCCGATGTTCACGACGACCCCGTCCTTTCCTAGCGCCTCCAGGACGTCCTTGCCGACGATGTGCCGCGTCGCCTTGTTCAGCGCGCACGCGACGACGAGCACGTCGGATTCCACCGCGAGGTCGTGAACGTTGGTGAAGTATCTGTAAGGGACCGAGTCCTTGGGCGTTCTAGAGTTGTAGCAGACGATGCAGCCGAGAGCTTGGAGTCTCTTTGCGATTTGTGAACCGATGTTCCCCAAGCCGATGATGCCGACACGCCTGCCACCGATCTTGGAGCCGAGCGGGTGGCCTCCCTGCACCGGCCAGAGGCCGCGGCGGACGAACCGCTCGGCGGCCGACACGCGGCGGAGCACGTCGATGAGCAGGCCGACGGCGTGGTCGGCGACGTCGGCGGAGAACACGCTGCCGGAGTTGGCGACGACCACGCCGCGGCGCGCGCACTCGTCAAGGTCGATGAAGTCCACGCCCGCCGCCAGGCACATGACGCAGCGGAGGGACGGGACGGCGTCGAGGAACGCGGCGTCCACGGGGATCAGCCCCGCCCCCACGACGATGGCAGCACGAGGGGCTCCGGAGCGGCTGCTGCGGCGCGAGGAAGGCCGGGAGCGGCGAGCACTCGGAGGCGAAGAAGTCGAGGACGCGGAAGCGCTCGCGCAGCGCAGCGTGGAAGGAGGCGTCCTTGTGTGGGACGAGAAGGAGGACGACCTTCGTAGCCGGGGGCTCGCCGCGGGACGCCATCATGCCGGCCGGCGGAGGCGGAGGGGGCCGTATGTAATAACTTTGTGAGTTGTTGGGACTTTGTGAGTGATTGGGAAAGAATAGCAAATTAATTAATCTCGAGACTGAAAGCTAGTTTCTTTTTGAGGTGGAAGCTAGTTTTCTTGGACAGCTGCGATATCACCGTCAAGCGTCAATGGTCCCACCTCTGTCTTCTAGAATGTTGCATTTCGAAGAATATATGCCTGAGCCTAAGGGCGTGTTTGGTAAGGGCGTGTTTGGGACTGCTCCACTCCACGTTTTCCAGCTCCGCTCCACGTTTTTTAGCCAAACGGTTTCAGCTCCACGCACTCTGCTCCAGGAAAAAGGGTGGAGTTGTGAGAGCACCTAAAGAGGTACTCCACAAACTCCAGTTTTTTGTGGAGCTGCTCCACGGTGGAGTTTGTGGAGCAGAGTTTGTGGAGCAGTCCCAAACACCCCCTAAAGATGGCCAAAAGCCTGAGGCACGATGGCCTGGGACATGGCCTGAGTTTTTGGCCCAGCTCAGTCACGGCACAGCCTGGTGGCCATTAGGCCCGTGCTGGCCCGGCCTGATGAGAGGGTCGTGCCTAGGCCGTTGTCTCATCACGGCCCAAATTGTAACTACTAACCGCTCAAGACTCCATCCCGCCGCCACCCTCACATGGTTGAACAGAGGTCACGATTTGCCTTTCCTGTCGCAGAACTCCCTTCTTTTCGACTCATGACGCTCTCCCCTTCATTTTCGCGACTCACGATGCTCCCTCCACTTCCCTCCCCACCCGCCTCGCCGTCGCCCCTCCCCACCCCCCCCCCCCCCCACCCCGCGATGTTCCCCTCCTTCTCTGGTCACCGCGCGTGGATGCGGCGCCATCCCCGACATACGTGCTGCAACAGTGGCCATTTGTCCGGTGTAGACGTAGCGACAACTTGGCCCATGTCGGCACGACACGCCCCCCTCGTGCTTCGTGTCGTCTTGGGTCATACTCTCTAGGCACGTCGGGTCGTGCCGATATGGCACGACAAATCTTTTTTTCGGCCCAAGCACGGCCTGTGGCACACCAGCATGCCTTCGGGTCGTGCCGGCCCAAGCACGACTGTCGCGGGGTCGGAACCGCGGCAAGCATTGTTGTTCCAGGTGGTGTTAGAGTGCGTGTCTCCGGTGGCTCGGGTGGACTCAAGAACAAAAGAATCACAGAGGGGACGCAATGGTTTATCTTGGTTCGGGCCAATCGATGTCCTACGTCCAGCAGCTGATGATCGTTATACTCAAGAGCACCCAAAATGTTGAGAGTTACAACAGAGTGTACAGTACAAAGAGAGATTTGGAAAGGTTGACAGCGCCATGCCTACAGGGCAGCGCTTGGGAGCCCCCGAGCCTCGGTGCCTCGGGGCGTACCTTCTCGTGCCCGAGCCTTGGCTGGCGGCGCCAGAGGTCGGGAGGATGCCAAGAATCAGGTCCGAGCTCCCATCGGTCGGGAGCCTAAGGCTCGGTCGAGCCCCCGAGCCCCGAGCGAAAGCAGCGGTCATGCTCGGGCTCGGCTAGTTTCCTTGGCCTGAGGGCACGCATGAAGGCATTCTGATGGGTATAGCCCCGAAGCACCCTGGACGACCTCGGTAGAGTCGTTGGGGGGTCTCTCGGTCAAAAACCTTTGAACCCGAGGTTTAACATACCCATATATTAGGATCTCGTCAACGACCCTAAAAATATCTTTGCTAGTTTTTTTCGCTCGTGATATAAAAAATAGATATCTTATGTGTACTATTTTCATGAAATTTTTAATGATTTTCATAATCTATCCAAGAATTATATGAGATGTTATATAATAAATGCTAGAAAATTGTATTGTAGAGTTGTAGATGTGTACGTGCCATTTTCGTACATGTCGCTCCAAAGCACGGCCCAAAATGCGGGCGTGAAATGTAGCCCGCCATGCCGAGATCCTAGGCACACAGACGCCCTCATGTTCTTTCGTGCTTCAAGACGGTCCAAAATATTTTGTGTCGTGCCGTACTTCGTGTCGTGCTAAAAGACCGTGTGACCCGCCCTCAAATGGCATGGCCCAAGTCCCAGCTCTACTAGCTTCGACGCAATGGGCCAAAGACGACACGACCGACCCTTTCTAGGGTCAAGACTTGTGTTGTTGTGAGGCATGCCCTGTATGGCACAAAGATGACATGAAGGGACAAGCGGGCCGCCCTCAAATTTCGACACTAACCAGGTCGTGCCTTTAATGGGCCTGGGCCTGGCTGTGCCATGCCGCGATAACGTCGTCCATGTTTTATGTTCTTGTAACACCCTAAAAACGTTTTGGGTGTTAGAAAGTGCAAAGTGATAAATAGTTACTTAGGAGTTTTAATGAATGACAAAAAATAATTATTTTATCTATTGCTCGAACGGACTATTATTAGATCATAGATGTGTACAGCTCATCGATCGTATTTTGTTTGACTACTCATACGCACCGTTCAGAGTTCAGACCAAGAAGTTACGGTCGTAGGAAGGTGAAGGGAGAAAGAAAGGCACGTGAACGTTAAGTCGTAACACAGTGCTTGTGATGAACAGTACTTACGGTCATCACTGGTGCACGCGGCGGGAGCGGGGCGCTGCAGATGGCGTGGGTGGGGGCGACGCTTTACGCCGTTGAGCACGTGTCACACCTAATTTAAGGATAAAATTGAATGCACTAAACTCATGTGTGCACAGGGATCAGTCATACACACAAGCTGGCAAATTATAAAAAGTATCATCACAGTGTATCTTACATCACAATTAATAACATAACTTAGTCTTACACAACACAGCGAAAAAATAAAAGACAGCTCTCTCGTGGAAGCTCCAACATAGGGACGGTCAACTGGTTGACCACAAGACTAATAGTCCTCAGGAAACTCCTCATACACGTTGTCATTTGTTACCCATCCAGGATTTTTATCCAAATATAGAAAGTAAACAAGCATAAATACGTCCCGTACTCAACAAGATAACATGGGGTTATGAAGCTCAAAAAGGTTGACACTGGTTTACTACAGTTAGCACTTTTAGTAAGTTAAGATTTTATTATCAAGTTATGCTTATGCTCCCTTTTCAACCCACATAATCATATATCAGAACCATTTGAGTCATGAAACATCATCATAATATCATCATAGTCATCATGTATGAACAACATTATAAGTAGCCATTTATTCTGTGAGTTTTCCGGGCCGCTCGTGACCGTGAGCACAGCTGTTATAACAGTTTGTAACCCTCTGTAGAGGTGGTGCACATTCACCGCGAGTCGTGATTCCCATATGCCCAGGTTAATTACTCTCATATCACTGCCAAGGTGAGCGGGCACGGTACACTATGAAGCCATTTCATAGGTTTCTCTAACAAGTTAGGGCCGCTAGGTTTCCTCGGTAGGTAGATGTAGGAACCCCCCTTTCCTATGGCACATATCCATCGCGGCTATACACATAGGAACAGAGGTAGTCCTATACCCAACGTGGCAAGCCCCTTTTGCGCCATAAAGGTAACCTCTAACAAGCTAGAAAAGGTCCTATTACTGAGCTAAAGTCAGAGCCATATGACCCTCATGGTTGCACTGTCAGTCCCAGCTTTTGCCGACAGATAAGTCCTTATGGAGGACCAAGAGCATCATGATCGAAAGTCATTCGCTCCTTCGCCCTATAATTCAGTTGTTTAAAAGCAAATTTTACCTTTTCGTTCCATAGAACCATTATTCATTATGTAGATTATGTACATTTACATTGAGCACTAGCAAACTACCCATATGCATATAACCCATATGAGACAAGGAACATGATAATCAATCACTAGGATGTCCTTACGGGTATCAAAATTAGACACATGCAAATGGGTAATTAATAAAGGTGAATAGGCATCAAGGTAAATCCCATGCTATACTTGCCTTGGTTAGCAAACTCCTGCTGGTCCTGCTGGTCGTCGAAGAACTCTTGGTCTCCAACATTTTCCTCACCGTCTAAACGCGACAAACACGGCAACATACAACATTCCAAGGGCATTCATGCAAAGCAAACAATCCTATAATTAGAACAGTACACCAACAGTGTAGAAAACAAGATAAAATGTTTATGAAAAGAATCTACGTCTCACTACGATAATGTCAATGCGAAGTTCACGAAAATCGGAGCTAAAATACGAAAGTTATGAATTAAACGGGGTTTCCTATTGCAATTTATTTAATTAAACCTAACCATGAAATTTAAAAATTGCAAACATGATTAACAGTGGTACTAACACGTATATTATATAATTACGAAACTAACGCAATTTGAACGGGTCAATTCGGAGCTAAAACGAAGTTTTTTATGAGCAAAACAAATCCAGTGGCATTTCTGTAAATACTGAAAACGTATTTTGGACTAAAACAGTATATTTTACGTTTTCAAAAGGAGAAAGCATACTCAGGAACTGTGTTATGGACTGTGGTTCTATTTATCAAAACCTGGGGGTCTCTTTAGAAAAATAACCCGCGAAGGGGTATCGAACATTCTGGGCCGTTGGATCATGGATGGGTGGCTCAGAACAGATGGGAGGGAGAGAGAAAGGGGCGCCGGCCGAGAATAGTAGCTCCGGTGGCGGCGCTACCATGGACGGCGGCAAGAAGGTCACCGGCGCGCGTGGACTGGGGTCTATAGGCCACGGTTCGAAGAACCGAGGACACCGGGAGAGAGAGAGGGTGAAGGGGGCCTCGGACAGGCCGATACGGCGGCCGGAGGA